AACAGATGAGCTACTGTAGCTCAAACTGCTGAAACAGTTAGAGAAGTATTTCCTGGTCTGAATGTACCATGTAACATACTAAACCAACATGTTTTTCTTCAATCTTTTGTTACCTCTCCATTAGCAACTGAAGCACCCATTTCAGCTGACTTAAAAGAGTTTAGAGTTTTCCAAAGATAAAACTGATATAGCAGTTAAACAGTTCAGACATTTAGAAGTGTTGGGCGACAGACCGCATACCAATCGAGTGCACCAAACCACCGACCACTTGATGCTGTTCCAAAGCTGTCAACAGGTTATCTTTACTGTAAGGAGGAAGTTTATCTGAACAACTAAAGGCAGACGTCAAGCAGGAAATAATCCAATGAAACCACAGAAAGAGCTGAGTTTGAGTCGTAAATACAAATGAAAGGACTGAAACAGTGAAGGTAACTCATTTGCTATAAACTGCAAACACTTCTTTGGACTCAATTGTGATTATTCGGTTACAAGAGAGATGAAGTTAAGTGTTATTGCAGGTTTTAATGACTGTTTATGTCTTTTAATTTGGAGTAATGTTACAGCTTTAGTTTTTAGGTGTTAATCACTGGTTTTTACATTATTTGTCTTCTTGGTGTTTTTATATCAACTTTTGTATGTTTTACATTTTATTGTTTCTATTGTATTCAGTTTTAACCTTGAATATGTATTTTTGTAAATTTTTGTTTGTATATGTTGTTTCAGTTATGTTATGTGAAGCACTTTGGGCTCTATCATGTTTGTATGAAAGCTGCTGTATCAATAAAGATGAGTTGTTTGATTCAGATCAAAGCAGCTACAGACGTATCTAAACTGGGCAATACAAGTCAAATCTAATTTTATTTGTATGTCCCAAAACACACTCTTTGCCAACCTCAGTGACCTCAATGGTAGACCAAGCAAGTTTAGTGTTTGGATTTATAAAACTCTGTGTATGTGCTGGTAAGGTTCTCATAAACTTTGTTTCTGTGTAAACACTTGAATGGTTAGGATGTCAGGCGTAGTCACGATGGTTAGAGTTAGTCAATGAAACTGAATGGTTAGGGTAAGGTAGACCTATCTGTACTCTCTAGTTCCAGAACTGGGAGGGGGCGGAGCCTGCAGGTGCTCCAGGTACATGAAGAGAAGAATGAAACTGATTGCAGATCAGAGGTGAGGCAGTGAGCAGGACGGCTGAGAGTCGGTGAGTGAGGTAACATTTTAAAACTGAGAAGATTTAATCTGTAAACAGATAATAGTTAATAATGGTTGTATTTCTGCAGAAATATATGCAGTCTCATATAACAGAATTAATCTGATTTAAGAACACATCAACATCATTTATATTTATGTTTCCAGCACAGTGACAAGTTGATAATATTTTTGGAAAAGGTAAGTAAACTTTATTAGTTTTATTGTCTGTTTACTTCATACCTTGTTTTACTTCACAATGTTTTATGAATTTGACGTCCAAACTCAGGTCTTCTAAATCAATGAAAATGTGTGTGATACTGAAGCAGTTTAAAGGTTCCAGAAAAACTAGTTGGTTCAGTCTGAACGTCACACAGGAAATAGTTTTATTATCTTATAATGGAGGAGGTTCATCTTGTTCATTGTTTCACATACAGAAGAACAAAATGTTGTCTGGTCCTGAATGTATAAAGACTCAAAAATTGTCCACAATACAACAAACCACCACAACAACAACTACCTGGCAGACAGTACGCAGGTGTAAGTCTATAAATTTAGATACAGTAAAAAAATATATTAAATATTATCAGGTTTTCCCTCTGACATCCTTTGGCTGCTCTGCCTCAGCTCTACTGTACTCTACTGTAACTGCTAATGTAGCTGCCGTTAGCTAACTGCCAATGTACATGGTGGTGCTGTTCACTGTGAGCTCCCAGTCTGACAGAGTCAGCTGATGGGTCCACTACAGCTGCTGGACTGCTAGAGTGACAAATCCCTCCCTAATAAATACATAAATATGAGGAAGCCAGTTTCACTTTCAGAACAGTTATTTTCCAGTACTGTTATCATTTACTATACATTTACTTGTCTGACAGTAACTGATTTGTCTCCAGTGTTCAACAGGAAGAAGTGATGGACACAGTCAAAGAGATTCTGCTGACTGAGCTGAAGAACCTGAAAGCTGAAGAGTTTGAAGAATTCAAGTACCTCCTCCAGGAGTATGGATCTAAAGCCAAGACGGCTCTGTCTAAAGATGAAAGTTACCTGAAGATTGCACCATGTGACCTGGAGAACGCAAACAGGCGCAAGACGGTGGATCTGATCGTTCAGACGTACAGCAGCCAGCCAGTGTTCGTCACCCAGGAGGTGTTAAGTAAAGTCGGCAGGAACGACCTGGTGGAAAGGCTGTCACAGAGCTCAACCAGAGGTATAACTACAAATACAACCAGTAAAACTACAAAATTGACCAGTCTAATTATAGGTATAACCAGTAAACCAGTAACCAGTTTATCTGTAATACATATAAACTCAATACTATAAAAACATACAGAATTGTAAAGACGATCATTTTCTAGAATTTATTGTTACAGCAGGACACAAACAGAAAAAAATGTCCTGTAAAATTCATCCCGTAAAATACCTTTGTGTAAATCGTCATTAACTTCCTCAGGGAAGTATGTCCGGTCCTCTGAACTTTTCATGAATCCTTCAGATTTTTGTTGTTCCAAACTGATTTCACAAATGTCTGATTATCAGTTAATATTAACTATTAATGAACAATGATGATTGATGAAAGAGCTCTCTGATCTGAAAGATCCCCTTTCTCCCTCCTCCCTGTTCTCTCTCTCTGTCTGCCTTTTAGAGACCAATATGATGTAATGGGGTTGCCACCGTTGAGGACAAACACCAGCAGATGTCAGATTCTTTTATTGTTTCTATTTCTTTTTCTTTATCAAGTTTTTACATGTTAAGGTGGAATCAGAGCAGCTTTTTTTTCCTTTGCAATGCGCAGGGAAACTTTATTTCTAAAAAGTCATGAAAGTTCATGAATTTGGTCGTTATAGTTATTCATAAATCTGACTAAAAACCTTTTATTGATATATTTGAAATTCAGCAGCTGCATCAGAAATATTTTATTCACATGGCCCAAAAATAATCAAAAATGTACAAATTGTTCAAAAACAAACTCTGTGAGGAGTTATAGTACTAATAGCTGTATATGAGATCATTTCTGACCTCGTGTTTTTTTTACATTCACTTTTTAAAGGTTTTCAGTCAGAATTTAACTTTTTTGAGGTTTTTAAATAAACGAAATACAGTTTTTCAGATCTGTAATCTCTAATGTTGATGTGATTTACCTTTCTTATTTGACTTTTAGAAACATACATTTTGCATTTCAGAAATTGTTCACCGTGAGTTGTGAATCCAGTTTTTCATTATTTGGGTGCTTGAAAATGAAATAGCTGGAATTGAAAATATTGGGCCCTATCTTGCCGATCTGAAACGCAAGTATCAAACGCAAAACCCAAGTAGCTTTGTGGGCGGATCTCGGGGGCTGTTGCTATTATGCCAGCGGGTTAAATGACTCTTGCGCCGGGCGCAAATCTAAAATGGGTTGGTCTGAAGTAGCTACATTAGTCATAGGTGTGGTTTTGGCATAACGTGCAATAAACCAATCAGAGCGTCATCTCACATTCCCTTTAAAAGCAGGCGCGCTTGTTCCATGGAGGATTGCTATTATAACGGAGGATTTGCCAGGCGCACGCCAGGAGCGGTTCACAGCCGAGGAGACCGACGTTCTCGTCAGGACCGTAAAATACCGAGAAGTGACATTATTGACGTGAAATAAATGTAGCACAGCCATACAATAAATCAAAACAATTTAACGCAGTTTCGCAGGAAGAAGACCCTGGCCTCGGGAGCAGTGCGCAGGGGCCAGCTGAGGAGGGAGCAGCGCAAACACCAAGGTGCAGAGGATCCAGACCCACTACACGCCGGAGGACCACCTGTTCCTGCAGCAAACCGGGTTTGACATGCTGGAGCGGGAGCTTTCCGGGATGTTGCTGCTGCCTCTCAGGCGCATCCCCTCAAGTCTGCGCCCTTAAAATAGCATCTGAATAAGCGCTGACTTAAACTGACTTTAGACTTGGTTTTTCCTGGTCTGTGGCAGAATTGTTTTCTGAAACAGCAAAATAGCAGCAGGGAACGTTTGCGCCGGAACACGCCTCCTCTTTTCGCTGAACCGCCCCCCGGAGCGCAAGTTGATTCCCTAGTTTAAGGACGTGCGTCGTTGGAGGGAAAATTTCAATGTGCGTCGAGTGCAAAATAGGAATTATACAAGCGCCAGTGTACAAAGTCAATTGCGCTGAGTGCAAGATAGAGCCCATTAAGTTTTTCACTTTAATGTTTTTTCTAAACACTTGTTGAAATACAGATTTTCTAAAACTTAAAAAATCTTTCAGTTTTTCTAAAGAAGAAAAGTAAATTATGTAAATTATTATTATTATTATTAAGAGTTTGAATTTATTTAGCACACAACAAAAGTCAGAACAAATCTCAGAACACTTTCAAATAGAGCAGATTATTTACAGAGACCCAACACTTCCCAATTTAATGAAGACAGTGAACTTGAAATTATGAGTTTAGTCAACGTTTCATTGTTCCCAATTTTTTTGTGTTCAGTTAACAGGTGTTCCCTAAAAGTTTACCATTTTTGTTCACGTCTGAACTCTTTAACAGCACCAACATTTGTGTCTTCAGACTTCCTTTTTTGATCACAGCACTGTCTCTTTGGGCTTGTTCTATTGTTCACATTCCTAACTAATGTGGCATCTGCTGTGCCGCTATTAGGGTTTAGTATTGTTATGAATTCATCAAGAAATAAACTGGTTTAATAGAAGTAGTTGTTTTTTCTGTTTTTTCCATAAAGTGAGACAGAACTGGAAATCAGATGAATTTTATGAGAGAGTGTTTATGCTTGGTGACTTTCAGTTTCCATATAATATTTGACAAATCACCCATGGACACTGATATACAGAGACAGTTTTATTTTTATTGAATGTCAGTAAAATAACCTCTTATGTACAGAGTTTAATCTGTTAATTTTCCATGTTAACTTTCCGTGTTAACTTTGTTCTATATCTGTTATACATATAAACTCAATACTATAAAAACATACAGCATTGTACAGTTGATCATTTCTAGAATTTATCGTTACAGCAGGACACAAACAGTAAAAATGTCCCTGTAAAGTTCATCCCGTAAAAAACCCACAAACATTTGTGTATATCCTCATTGTCCTCAATAACTTGTGGAGTTCCTCGGGGAAGCCTCCTGGGTCCTCTGAACTTCCTATTAGAATTTTTATTATTATTATTTATTTGACTGATTTTTCTCCAGACTCAGATGTTTATGAATAGATAGATCCAGGATGTGTTTAGCCTAGCTTAGCATAAACACTGGAAGAAATTTGATCATTACTCATTTGAGTCTAGAACAGAACTTGGCTCAATTGCTCGAAACTGTAAGATCCAGTGTTGAATACGATGATGGTCTTGTTCATTTCAAATGTTAGTCAGTCCCTCCAGGAAGTTCCAATGTGGTGAGCACAACACAAGTTCAATTAATCCCTGTGAATTCTGTGCATCATTGCAACTTTTCCGCAATTTTCACCTATCACAGCAGATCCCCACTCCCATCACTGAGCCATACATCAAACTATTGGATATTTTATTCTCACTGGAATAAGTTGCTTTTGTTTTTTAATAAATTATCTATTTTAAAAAATCACAACCACTTTTGCAATTTTAACTTTCTCTTGCAATGTAGTTCCAAAAAAAATGCTAAAACATCAGAATGTGCATCGCAATTGATTTAGAAAAGCTTCTGTAAAAACAAGAATTTGAAGTTGCAATGATCCCAAAAACAAAATCTTGGAGGGGCTGATTAGTAAAACATATATTTGGTATCAACATACACTGATTTAGAAAATTTGTTTTCTGTGCAAATCTGGTTTCTGTATTGATCGATACGGGGAACACATCAGCTCTTACTCACTTACTGATACTCCAGTCTGTGAACAACATGCAGATATTTGTGATACAAACTAGTCTGGTTGACACTGTGAGATTAAACACTGGAGTCAGCAGGTAAGACTTCAGAATCAAATCTTTTCTGTCCTATACTAATCAACTAATTAAACAATATGACAATAAAAGAAAAGAAGAATCCAATGAGAGATTACACTTTTTGTTTGTTCAGTTTGTTTGGGAAACCTAAAGCTGCTGAGCTGTTCTTTCCTCTCTTGACTTTTTATCTGAATGTGAACACTGGTGTTCAGTTGATCAATGTTAGTGGCATAAGTGTCATAAAATTTCCACATGAAGTGTATAAATCCTTTTTGGTTTGATGTATTCTTTGAGGAGGGAGACCTTTAAACACCGTAACATCTGTAACAATTATATCTATAAGAACAGAAAAGCACTGGAGATCGACGGGTCATGGAGGTCTTTTAAGGTAGTAAAAATTTTATTTTGTTGAGGTTCCTAGAAGGCACATGAAATTGTTGGTATGTTGCATTATTCCAGCTTTTCATTTCTCTAGATCCAAGCAGTCTGTAGCAGCAGCTGTGTGTAAGTTCAAACTCAGCCTCGTTATAATGTATTATTATAATCTATTATTAAGTTGTGATTTATGCAATTCAAAAGTAAAAAGAGAGAAGTTGCAACTTCACTCTGAGTAACAACTAAATAGTTACACATCCTCTGAGGCAGTGTAAATCATAAAATATCAGAGTTAAACTCACTGATGGTGAAACTGCAGTCTTCCATTTTGAGACACAGTAATCAAGTACAGACCTAAATTAATGATATGATATTTCAATATTGATCTAGCTAACTACAATGTGTTACAATGCTTAGTGGCTCATGTGAGCTAATGTGCACAGTAACCATGGTGATGAAAGAATTTCTTTGATCGTTGATTGGTCGTGTGCCTTAGTTATGATTTTATGTCCAAACTAGTTCAGTTATGCTCCAAGTAATCGTGGTGCAACTGATTTCAGAGCTGATTTATTTACAAACTAACTAGTTATTGATCATCCAGAGATGACTTTACACCCTGACTAAAGAGAGAACTCACACACAGCTGGTTCAACCCAGTCCTGGGTTTTATGTGGTTCCACTTAGGTTCCACTTCGGTTATTTAAGGGTAGGTGGTCTGGTGGTGAGACAAAAGTATTATGAAGTGAACTCCAATATCCACAGGAGTCCAAAGAAAGGAGTTTCTACAAGGTTCCTAAAGGATCTAGAACCTGTGTGGATAGTTGTTCCCCAAAATAAGTATTGGTTTTGGGTTTTATTGAGGTGTCAAATAGGTGTATTTTGTTTGGTCTGTTGCCTTGACGGCAGAGTGATGGCGCTAGTGAAGGTTTTATTTAAATCAGGTTTTTATTTTATCAGTATTGTTTAAAGTTAGGTGGTCTCGTAGTGAGAGCATTGTGTCCTCAACAGATTTCAGGTCCAACATCCAATTTTAGTATCCACACAATTTTAAAAAAGCAGCAGATGATGTTTGGGTCCAGAGTTTTTGGAGGTTTCAGACAAATCTGGAGCAGTTTGTTTCAAAGTGAGAAATATGTGAGTTTTAAGGGCTGATTAAAGTTTTGTTACCTTTAAAGAGCAGTGAAGTCCAGGGTCCTATATAGTTCCACCTAAGTTCTACCTGAATCAGTTACAACACAGAGGAGGATTGGTTTGGCTCCTGAGATCTACAAAGCTCTGGAACAAGTTTTTCTGCTGATCCTTTGCATTGGTAACATCAAGTTAAAGGTTTAAAAACCAGTCCAGGGTTCAAGACAGTTTCACTCAGGTTCTAGCATGATCATTTCCTGCTGCAATCCTCCATGAAATGACGATGTTTGGTTCCAGAGATCTACAATGTTCTCGGAGGACCTGGAATTTGTTGGAAGAGATCTTGCTTAAAGTGAGAAGTCTTTGTGGTTTTTAAGGTGCAAAGGAAATATGTTCCATTTGGTCTGTTGCTTTGAAAGAAGAGTCCAGGGTTCTAGGTGGTTCCACTCAAGTTCTATTTGGGTCGTTTAAGGCACAGTGGTTAAAAAAGGGGCATCATAGCTGGCAGTTCAGTCAAAGGTGATGTTTAGCTCCAAAGTTCGAGAAGGTTCTCTGAAGATATTTGGCAGGTCTTGTGAAGTTTGGAGGTCTTCCAGGAGGTTCCCTCTACCTCTGGGAGAAGACAGTCTGGAATTCGTTGAGCATGAGCTCCACTATCTGGCTCTGGAACACCATGTGGATCGTCATATTGGCAGACTCGGTCTGGGGGCGGAGTAACGTGGGGCCAAACACAATGGCGACGCTCTGAACCGACATCCTGTTGGAGTCCTTATGCTCAACCACTCTGCAGAGAGAAATTAAAGAGTGTTAATTGTTCATTAATTATCATCATATCGTGTCATTCAGCACTATTCAATAAATAAGAAAAACGTTTGACCTTTGACAATTTAATAGCACCAAGATCCAAACAGTTGATGGTAACAATGTGGCTTCAAACTGGATAAAAGTCAATGTATGACAGCTTCTGATAGATTATTGATTAAATCAACTACATATAGAACATAGCTCTAGAGTTCATACACTGTTTTGTGTTTTGTTTTGTTGCTCATGGTGGAACTGTTGGGTCTCTGTAAATAATGTTATAATGAGTTTGGTCTAGACCTGCTCTATTTGAAAAGTGTCCTGAGATAACTTCTGTTATGAATTGGCCCCTTACAAAGTAAATTGAATTGAATTGAATTGTTTAATGATTATAGATTATTGATTGAATCAGCTCCATATAGAACATAGCTCTAGAGTTTATACACTGTTTAATGATTATACATTTTTGATTGAATCAACTACATACAGAATATAGAAAAGTTACATAAAACAGATTTAAGTACAAAATCTAGTCCTCAGCCTTTTGTTAGTACGAAGCTTCAGAGTGAACTGACCTCCGCAGGTGTTTGAACAGCAGCTCCATAGTGTCATGGTTCGGCAGAGGCAGAGAGCGAACCAGGTCCCTCATGTAGGAGACTCTCAGGCTGTAGTCTGGGACTTCTGCAGGGAAATAAAGGTTCTTTGTGTCAAAACAAGGCAGCAAGCTTTGGTTTTGGGATTGTTTCCTCAGTTTTTGGACTGATGAGATTGTTTGTAATATGGGTATGTTAATATCTACATAGTACAGGAGGCTGTCAGGGATAAAGTTAAAAAGCAACCTCTTATTTCCTTGTCATTTGGTCTGGTCTTTCAATCTCAGTAAATGTACACACTTTATGACCCATTCTTGTTTGACTATTTTAACATTTCCGTGGTGCATACATGCCACTTATGTGTCTGGTGTATCTAGTTTCATTGATTATGATAGTAGCGTAGTGTTGCAGCATCCCCTCCGCATATGTCACGTGTTCAATGTAGCCAGTATGTTAGCCTTACACATGAAGATGTATTTTTGTTTGGTTGGTACCAAAAATCCTAATCTCACGTTCATGTTTTGGATCAAATTTCACTTTAGACTGTAATATTTATGTGTACGTTTAATTTTAACACAAAATCATACAAGGTCGTACTCATTTTCAATAGCTGTGGTTTAAATGTATGTATCACATGCTATAGTTTGGTTTGCGATGTTGGTTTTTTGTGTACTGACGGATGGCAGCAATGAATTTGTCGAAGCAGCTGAAGGGGAAAAGCGGCTCTGGAAGCTCCCTCAGGAAAAGCTTTAGGGCTCCGGTGATCACATGGATCTCCTCCCACTGTCCGTCCTCCAGGTCCAGCTGCTCCTCTGCAAGGACAACAGAGATATTATGAAGATAAGAAGAACAACCTTCTGCTGCAGCTTCTCTCTGGACTGAACACAGTGTGATTACATCAACCACGTAACGCAGGACATCGTCTGCATACAATGACAGCGTTGGTTTGTTACCGTGATCAGCTTTGTGTCGTAGTTTCTGGATCACAGCCAGGTTTCCGCTTACTCTGTAGATCCCGTCCACATCCAGACCTAGACAGACAGACAGACAGACAGACAGACAGATAGATAGATAGATCGATAGATAGACAGATTCTTTATTCATCCCGAGGGAAATTCAAGATGAAGATTCAACCTGAACACACTAATCAGTCTCCTGTGTGTTTATTTGAGTGGAATGAGTGTGTGTCGAGTATGTGTTTACCTCTCCTCTCCACCGTTCTGATACACTTCTCCAAAAATTTGGGAATGGTGGTGTTTTCTCTGTGACAGAGTGTGTCCAGGTGACAGCCGAACACGTTGTCTGCGCCACAGAAGAAAAAGTGATGGTTTGAATATTTCATTCAGTTACAACAATTCCACATAGTTTTAGCTTTCTGTCACTGTGTCACTTTGCATTGCTCAAACTAATTAAACCAAAAGAAGCTTTTATTGAGTACCAAAAGATGTGAGGGAAGAGGGAAAATTTGTAAGAAATTGACCGAAAAACAAGTTCTATTGTGGACGTGGCAACAGCAAAACGTAGCCTTATGGTGGGAAGTGCTGCAACCCTTGTTTAGAATATTTCCACCACTTTACCTTGCAGTCAAACAATAATAAAAACGGTAATTTTACCTCACAGAAAACCGGAGGTTTCCGGTCTACCGCTGCCTCCATCTGCGTTAAGTAATGTTAGTTTGGATCCAAATTACTGCGTTAAAACACAGCATTTGTTTCACTTCTGTGAAGAAATGTTAATTGACTAACAGAACTATGGCCAAGCGTCAGGAGTTAGTACAGGACAGCAAAATTGTTCCACTGCAGTCTTCAAAGGAGCGACGCTGCAGTCCTGACAAATTGACTACAGTCATAGTACAACAGTAACATTAATCTAGTTTACCCTTTAAGTGAAGTTTTTATTTTATTTTAAATTAATCTTGTCACCTATTCGATTGTTAAAAGAAGCGGTAAACAGACTAAGTGATGCATGAACAATGATCAACCATAACAACGTCTGTTAACCCGCTTTGCCTTTTTAAACTAAACTAAATACACATTCATGTTTACATAATCTGAGTGGGGGGCTAAAATACAATTAAAATGTCCAGGACAACGTAAATTATTTCCACGATATTTGGTCATTTTAATACATTTCCAGGTGTTTCTAGGATTGGAAACTAGTCGCAGAATTTTCCAGATTTTCCAGGATACGTTTGGGAACCAAGCCGATGGAGTCTGGTGGTTTCAAATAGAGTCATATAACAACTTCAGTTCCACGTGAGAAAGTCTTCCTGTCCTCCATCTATTCATAACTAAAACCAGCTGTATAATGACAAGTTGGAGCTCATTGTGCATCATCACCCACATAATAACTCATTTTAAGACACATGAGACTGTTGTGAAGAGTTACTCAGACCTTCGATGGGTTTGTGTGAGCTGTGAGTTTACCTCTGATGTAACCTTTCTCTTTAACGCTCTGCAGCGTCGGCCTCCGCTGGAGGAAACGTCGCAGTTTGGTCCGAACTCGTCTCTGCTCAGACTCGGCTGTTCCTGATAAACTCCTGGTCGCTAAAACACACACAAAAAAGAAGAAAATCTGAGCATGACAGGAAGTATCGTTACAGACTTCTTTTGGTTTAATTCACTGGTGTAAGTCGTGTTATCTGATACAGACACATCATTTGTGATTCATACTGTATGTATAAAACACATTAAGTACCTGCTAATGGAAACAGCTTATCTTGATTAAACTTTATTTATATAATCCAAAATCACAAAGTTGCCTCAAAGGGCTTTATAGTCCGCTGCACATCCTCAGACCCTAAACTCCTCAACACATTACACTGTGTTCAGGAACATAATGTAAATAGTAATTCAGAACACTCTGCATGTCTAAAGCTTCCTCACAGTGAGAATATTTAGTTTGTTTGAAAGCAGCACATGCACTGTAAAAAAAATATAATTTCATCATTTCAAAGTAACTGTCAGCATTTTACTTTTCTTCTTTAGAAAAACATGAATATTTAAGTTTTATAAACAAAATAATGTGTTCAGACTATATTCATCAGCAAAGTTTATTTAAAAACTTCCAAAACTTGTGTTTAAGTCAAACTTAAGTTTGACCTAAACATATAGTGACGACAGTGAAAAAATGATTTTGCCATTGGTTTTTCAAGCAAGTACATTATTTTTTATTAATTAATTTTTTATTTATTTTCATTTATTATTGAGTTAAGATTGTTTCAGACTCACATGTCCTCTTCCTGTCTTTGTCCTCTTTGTCTGAAGCAGCTTCGTCCTCGTCCTCCGACAGGTGATCCTGTTCCTGAAAGAGTTCCACAGGATGATTTGTTCTAATGTTATTGATCTGTATCAGTAGTACTGTGAGTGGTTGGTGGTTGTTCTAATGTTATTGATCTGCATCAGTAGTACTGTGATGTTACCAGCTGTCTGATGGTGTCATGCATCACTTTGAACCAATCGGTGATGATGCTCTCGGTGTCGTACTGCATCAGATACTCGCAGCCCTGACGAGTCTTCAGCTGTAAACAAACGCACAACAGTCACACACAGTAACAGTAACCACAACAACCATGGTGGCAATGACACAGAACGTGATAGACAGATAGTGTACCTCAAGAACATGCTAAATTATATTTCTTCCTCAGTGACCCTCAAGAGTCCTTAGAACCAGTGGAACCTCTTCAGTGACTGTAGAAACCCCTCAAGAACCCCTAGAACATAATCAGTGTCCCCTAGATTTGATCCTTGTAATCTTAGGATCACTTAAAGATCCCCAAGGGCCTCTAGACTATCCACACAGACCCACAGAACCTCCACAATGATCCATAGTGCCCACTAAAACTAAAAGCTCCTCAAGGCCCCTAAGGACTTCCTCTAGAACAAGCAAGATGGAAACAGATAGTTTACCTCAAGAACCTGCTAAATGCTACCTCTAGATCTTCCTCAGTGACCCTCAAGAGTCATTAGAACCTCCACAAGGACATAAACCTGAACCTTACCCTAAACCTCATCAGTGCCCCGTCAAGTCCCTTGAAGTTCTAAAATATCCATGGAATCTACTCAAGGATCACTCAAAGATCCCCAAAGACCTGCAGACCATCCACACAGACCCTTACAACCTCCACAATGACTCACAGTGTCTACCTAAGGACAACTCAAACTTCCTCAAAGACCCCCAACATCAAGGACCTTTAGAACATATTTAAGGACAGCTAAAACCCCCTCATGGACCCATAGTACCTCCTCAAAGATACCTAAAACTCCTCAATGTCTCCATGAATTTCCTCAAGAAGAAGATGGTAACAAATGGTGTACCTCAAGAACGTTCTTCTTGGATGACTTGTCCTTGGAGGCCCAGGCCACTGAGGCTCCTCTCAGCTCGACAGTGTACTCTGGAACAATCTGTGACGACTTACTCTGAGGAACAGGAAGTCATCATCAACATCATCATCATCATCATCATCATCATCATCATGTGATGAGTTCGTACATATTCAAATCAAAATATGTTATTTGACAAATGTCTGTTTGCTATCTATCACAGAATGCGGTAACACAATAGAAATACTTTTTGTATATTTGCAGTATTATGAACCTTCCATTGGTTTTATCTCCACTTCCTGTTACTTTCTGCTGTTTGCAAGGTTCCTTATTAGAAGGCCGGTCAGCTCAGTTTATGGGAATTACTAAGGTTCAAATCCCCTCTGCTCCACACTGTCAAACCAAACTCCATTCAAAAACGGATTGAGATGGAGAGAGAGTCTATACTGCAGTCAGCCACCACGGGGAGATAGGGAGAGAGTCTATACTGCAGTCAGCAACCAGGGGGAGATAGAGAGAGAGTCTACACTGCAGTCAGCAACCAGGGGGAGATAGAGAGAGAGTCTACACTGCAGTCAGCCACCAGGGGGAGATAGAGAGAGTCTGGAGAGTTGTCATGTCATCCATCTACACTGAACAAAATTACTGTATGTACGTGGATGGTGCTGATTGGTCAAATGTACAAAAAAATTCTAACGGTCAGATAAGAAGATGTTTGCACATTTGACGCTTTATTATTTGTTGAAATATTAGTTAAATATTTCTGTGACTACACTGATATATTTAATAACCTCATAACCTTATATCAGCTATATTATTACAGTATTAGTGTTGTTAATAACTCAGTAGGTGTTCCAGTTTGTGTCACTTACAGCGTTCCCACTGGGAGCAGATTTGGGATCTTTGTGGAAGGTGAGGATCCCTCCGTGGAGGACGGTCCAGGACTGACTCCAGTTCTTCCTGTCCAACAGCAACAACAACAGCACAATCAACAATTGCTGTGGAATCACGTTATATTTCATATATTATATAAAAATCTGCAGAGAGATAAACTGAGAGATAAAGTATCCCAAAAAGTTGTACTAGCTCATAACTACTAAGATCACAACAGTCAAATGTCGTTATGCAGTTGACCAAACTATAAAGTGTTGAGCTCTGTTGAGATTTATGCCACTTTAATTGAATAGGGCTCAATATTTTATACCTAATTTGTGTGGAACGCTCAAAAAGTTTAGGAACCATACAGTAGTGTCAGTAGTGTGGTGGGTGGGTCTTATGTGGAACACAGTTTAATTTGTTTTTATTTGTTTGCAATGCGCACTTTTATCCCCCTGCTTCAAACCACCACCCCCTCAGTTTTTTCATTAGTCTTATTGCCCTCATTTTCTTAAGCGTCGTCTTATCATCAGCCCTGATTTGGTAAGTAACGCTAACGTTTCTTTTTATTTATTTATTTTTCATTGAATTTCGATAAATAGTCTTAAATTTGGAACTGGGAATACATTCGTACAATGTGCACAGTGAATATTTGTTTTAAATAGTTTACAAATCCAAGTAATTGGAACTTTAGAAGTTGTTGAATGTGACAAATACATTACGTTACTTCATTTTACAATGGTGTAACGTTATCAGCGGGTTTCCTGGATCAACTACATTTCCCATAATGCATGTTTGCCCAGGACATTGACGGTGGAGTTATGGTGCTATCAGAGAATGTCTAATAAGGGGAGAACTTCCAATCTCGGTAAACTTCCGGCTTCTGAACTGTTGCAGTTCCACTCTGGTTCTATATGAGGGCGCTCACAGGAGGAGTGCATAATGAATGGAGGTCTATGGAGCTTTACCCCTCAAAATCCACTTTTCTCTGGGCGCCCAGTTGGCTCAGTTGGCAGAGCTAGCGGCCTGGGTTCGGGTCCGACCTGCGGCCCTTTGCTGCGTGTCATCCCCTCTCTCTCTGCCCCCCTTTCCTGTCTATTTTCGGCTGTCACTATCAATAAAGGCAATAAAAGGCCAATAACTAACTTTAAATTTTTATAAATTAATTATTAATTTATATATAATTCATTTTTATTTGAATGTTGCATTCGAAAGGGGATGCAAAGAAATTACACATTGCTGTGTGTTAGATTTTTTAGAGTCACTTTAAAAAGTCTTTTAAATGTCAATGACGTCATACACATTGTACGGCCAGAGATACTGCTTTACAGCAAGCCTTGAGTCACTTTGTGCTTCCGCGCTCTGCACTCCTTTTTCTCTCGAGGCATCGACAACACAGCTGACACAGGTTAGCCTCTCCCTGTCAATACACGTGCTAGAAAGAGTTTTTGTTTTGCTGTTTTAAACACCACGCCGAAATATCTATGTCCCGCTTCGGATGCCACAATGCCATCAAGCGGGATCTCTGGTCGTAATCAGTCCTTCACTGACCAATCAGCATTCATTAGCAGAATGCTAGCGTGTTATGGGCAACAACAACTCAACCTCAACAGTCAAACTCAACTGGTCGAGACAGACGACCACCCACCTAGAGCCGAAGGATCTGTCCTAGGTTTCTGCCTTTTAACAGGCAGTTTTTCCTTGCCCTTGTCTCCAAGGTCTTGCTCATGGTGGTACTGTTGGGTCTCTGTAAATAATGTTATGAGGAGTTCGGTCTAGACCTGCTCTATTTGAAAAGTGTCCTGAGATAACTTTTGTTATGAATTTAATTGAATTGAACCTGTAAGAAATCGAAAGGACATAAATCCTCGTTCATTTAACTTTCGACCTATAACCCATGCTGAACTCATGGGTGACTGCCCCCAGTGAAACTCTGGTGGAACTGCAACCAAAATTTGGTACGATGGGACATAATAGGGAGTGGCCAGGCTCTCCATAGACGGGCTCTGGTTCTATCCATTTGTCTCGTGAATCCCCCACCCGAGTTGCTTTGCCTGGCTTGTACCACTTATAGGAAAGAACATGGACGCCACCAGTGCAGCAGCTGTGTTGTTATTGCTTGTGGATCATCTAAACAAGCTCAATGTGAAATAATATGTTTTTCTACAGAAACACTAACATTTTAAGTAATTCTGTTATTACAAGTCTTACATTTCAATAATATTTTATTTTAATTTCAACAAGTGCTGTGGCGTTTTTCTCGAGCCACAAGGGGCAGTGGTGGGGGCTAGTGTTATTGTTAGCTACATTAGCCTATTTAGCAAACCAGCTCGAAAACAAATCTTTACATTGTATTGGACGCACAGCAAGACCGTGCAATGCCTAAATTGGTGACCGGACTAATTACGACCAAAAGGGGGTGTGTCTCGGTGAAATGTTGCGAGAGAGCTGCGAGATTTACACTTTCCAACTCGGGCGGGGGATTTATGAGACAAATGGATAGCACCATGTCCATGAGTCTGAACTCTCTGGCGGAGGCTGAAATGTGAGTGTGTTATCATGATGCTAACCAGGCCTGTGTTTGTATTTCTTCGTAGGCTCAAGTGTGTGGTTGTGAGATCATCTCGAAATCCTTTTAACAGTTCAGGTAGGATGTATTATGAAATAGTGTTATTAACAATTGGTTTTATTTGTTATTTGTTGTTTCCACAATCATTCTTTTGCTATTTCTTTAAATGTTTTTATCTCAACTGTGGGGTTCACAGAAAAAATAGTTTGATCACTTGAACCCTTTATTAATACTTTGTTAAAAACAAAAACATCAACAACAGAAATAGCAGATCTATAAGCACACAACTTTGATGCTTTGCTTGTTAATAATTAACTTGCTCATCTTATAACATTTCCATTTTTACTATAATTAGTGTACAATGAATGTTTTTGATAGATTTGGAAACTTTTTTATCTGTTTATTCACTTTTTTAAATTTCATTTATCATTATGTGTTATTTTAAAAATGTTTTTGAACATTAACAAATCATCTTTGTGTGCAAGTTGTGTACAGATATCGGACTACAAAGAGTGCTACAGGGAGTCAGCGTTTCACCATCAGACAGGGGCCAATAGGTGAGTTTTGTAAATTGTGTACTAATTTGAATTCGCCCTGAATTATTCACAATGGTTAGATTTTTTGCAGCAGAACAGACTTAATCAAATTACTGATGTGTTGTCAACTGGTTGGCATAATCATTTTCCCCCTCATTCAAAATTTTACACACATTTTAACAGGGCTGAAATGGTTAAGACTTTAATGGAAAATATTTAACTTGCAGGCTGAAGTTGGCCCAATGGAGTGGAAGTGCAAGTTGTTTTCTGCAACTTCAAATACCCGGGGACAATTATTTTGGCACTATACTGTACTGCATAGCCAATATTCAAGAGTGTCCCCCCTGTCATGTCTCTATGACAGTTGCATTTGTACTTTTCCTTAATTTGAAGCGATGAAAGCTCATCTGTCAAGGTCTCATAATGATTCATGTAGAGAAAATGCAACTGAAGGAGCATGTGTTTTTTTTTTTACATGTCCTTTGTGTAACTTCAAGCCGCCCTTTTCTGATGAAATTCTATTTGGTCATTTGAGAAGTCATTTACGAAGTCATGAGAGTTTAATGCACACAAAAGTAAAAAACATGGTGGTGATTCAGACTTTGGTGAATGTGTTGTATGGCACAATGAAAGTGCCCCAGTTGTAGTTGCAGCAGAAAGTCTTGGGGAACCTGCTGAAAGTCACAGTGCAGGGTCTGCGGACACATTTGATCTCGATGAGGTAAACAGTCAGTGTGACACAGACACTTAGAGAGCCCAGTTGAACCACAACTTGGCAAGCGTACTGACTCATTTCCGGTTTACTTCCTGCTCTGTGTACACTGTTTGGTGCTGTAGCTCTGTCAGTGAACGCTAAATATAAATTAGTTTTACTCGTTACAGCGGTTATTTTCCCCCTTAACATTTAAACGTAGACTAGTTCTACCTAAACACTCGGAGTTTCTCCTTCTTTTAGCGACTTTTCGCTATTTTCAAAGTTTTTCATACACTCTAGCTTCATTAGCATTAGCAGTTAGCTATGGCTTCTCCCTCTCCCTCTCCTCTGTCCTGCTCAGTGTGTCAGATGTTCAGTTATTCCTCTGCCTCCTTTAATGATAATGGTACCTGTATTAAGTGTAGTTTATTTACTGCGCTGCAGGCGAGGCTTAGTGAGTTAGAGGAACGGCACCGCACCACGGAGATATCTTTAGCCGCTATAGTTAGCCAGCCCCCAGTAGCCGGTGCGGTCCGACCGAAGGTAGCTTCTGTTAGCCGTCCTCCGGTAGATCCTCCGGTAGTTCCCCCGGTAGTTCCCGAGCAGCCGGGAAGACAGGGAGGCTGGGTGACTGAGCGAAGGAAGACTAAAACACCAAAGCCCACAGGTCACCACCAACCCATTCATGTTTCTAATACATTTTCCCCACTCAGCGATACACCCGCTGAGGAACCAACTCTGGTTATTGGCAGCTCCATAGTCAGAAACGTGAAGTTAGCGAAGCCAGCGGCCATAGTTAAATGTATCCCTGGGGCCAGAGCGGGCGACATTGAATCATATTTAAAACTGCTGGCTAAAGATAAACGTAAATACAGTAAGATTGTTATCCACGTCGGCGGTAATGACACCCGTTTACGCCAATCGGAGGTCACTAAGATTAATGTGGAGTCGGTGTGTAACTATGCCAAGACAATGTCGGACACCGTAGTTTTCTCTGGACCCCTGCCCCAATGTGACCAGTGATGACATGTATAGCCGCATGTCGTCATTCCACCGCTGGCTGTCGAGGTGGTGTCCAGAAAACGATGTGGGCTTCATTGATAACTGGAAGCCTTTTTGGGGAAAACCTGGTCTGATTAGGAGAGACGGCATCCATCCCACTTTGGATGGAGCGGCTCTCTTATCTAGAAATATGGCGAAGTTTATTTCTAAAACCTGACAGTCCAGAGTTGAGACCAGGAAGCAGAGCTGCTGTCTTACACACTTCTCTGCACTTTCTTTAGAA